TCAGGGTATTGAGTAGCATGGGAAATGAAGGGACATACTGGCGCCCGAAGGCTGCGAGGGTGCAGACATGTCGATGTTTGTGTGGTGGGCTCGCTGCCTCACTTTCAACCTTTTTTTAGTCGACTTTGCGCTAAGTCTTGTATTTACAAATCAGCCAATAGGAGCGCCGGCCTGAGCAAGCTAACTATCTCGTCTCTGTCCTCAACACGATATTCACCTTTTGTATTGCTTCTAACGGCTCTAATCTAAGATTGGATAGGTATGCTTTAAATCCCAAGTTGATCACTTTCCTCTGCTCCTACAACCCATTTCTTTCACAGCAGACACCTGTACTGTTCTCCCGTCACATCGTCCGTTCATGGGCATCTCCTACCTCTCCCGCTGGAGGAGTATATGGAAAACCGGCCCACTCTTCAGCTCTCCATCGAATACTGGCCGACCAAACGGGCATCCATTTTCTTGTCGCTCTTCCCTTGCTATTTCAAAAGATTCTGCTTTTGATAATTGCCTTCTCCTCTCATAATCTGAATCCTACTTCTCTTGTCTCTTCTCTTATATGTCACCCCATCTCATTCTATTTCCACTCCGCAACTCTAAATGTGCTTCTTTCGATACCCATTGAAATGGTGCTCTTCTGGTCGCATATGTTATTATCCCCCTCATCTCGTCTGCTCCATCGCCTTCTTAGCAGTTCATATCTTTTTCATCAACAAAACTATCAAGCGGGTGACCTCATGTCATCTCTTGGTGGACCCACCCACACGCATATCAGACTATACCGCCAATATCGCGAAACACATCAGTGCGAATGGAAATTCGTATGCCAATTTAACAGTCGTGGGAGGGCACTCAGAGGTTTCCCGACGAAGGACAAAGAAAATAACAATGAGCAGAGGGCACATGCGATGTATGTTTAAGTTATGAAACATGAGAAAGGTAGTAGCGTAGGCATAAGGCTTCTGTGTTGACTGTATAGTATTATAAAAGCTTTGGAAGCACTTAGTGATGATAAACTCACTATAGAGCATCAACAGGTGCCCAACCGGCAAAGTTTCATACGTACATATATATCAAGTATTACAACCTAAGCTTACATCATTAAAGTTCGTACACCGCTTCCTGTACATGGCCCAACAACTGTATTTCTTGGACTCATTTAGCCGTTGCAATTAAATTGGCATTCATTTCGAGTTTCGCTGTTGGACGCAAGGCACGGAAACAGGAGTCGATGACGTAGGAGAGGTCAGAGCTTCCCTATTGTACAAGCCATCCACACCCCTGCAGGAGAATCAGATTGATCTGCATCTCCACGTTCACACTACTTTAAAGCTCCTTTTAGCCTCCCGCATCTCCCTCCACAGACGCCTCGTCTCATCACTCAAGCTTCGTGTTTCAACGCCGTCTTCCCTATGGCTTCTCCTACTTCCTAGCATCCTTTTCTGCAGTGACAACAACATTACATGAGATTCCTTGGGCGAGTCCGCATCCACACATCAGCAGCATTCCACTCTCTCCTGCATTCGGCACTTGATATCCCCTTGCTCGGTGCACGACAGAATGCCCGTAAATACCATTTCCGTTGCTACAGCTGTTACGCCGACAGTAATAGAAACCTACCTCTCACACTACCTCAATCGCAAGCCGCTTGCACAGAAGCCGACTGCACATATATCCTACCACGAGGGCCTCGAGCTCATCCGGCGCTTTCTCAACTATGCCTCTCTCCACACTGTTGAAGAATTGCAAGAGTTCACATCACAATGGGTTCCCGTTCCACATTGGGTTCATGTCGAGGTTATTGACATACCGACCGACCAGCTTACGAGGGCTGCCGAGTGCATACAAGCACAACTCGGCCCTGCGGGAATTAAGCAGGTCGGTGGAAAGACTTGGTGGCAATGGCGCAGAGACAATGCGACGCTCAAGGCAGAGTGGATTGAGATGAGGAAAGATTATGACGCGAGAAAGAAGGCGGAGATTACAAAAGGGCAGAGAATCATGCTATATGTGCATGGCGGAGCATATTTCTTCGGAAGTGTGGACGAGCATCGGTACCAGATGCAACGGCATGCTCGCAAGCTGAAGGCGCGAGTTCTCGCGCCGCGGTATCGACTTGCGCCTCAGTTTCCGTTTCCTTGTGGTCTACTTGACTGTAAGTACTGATGCTAGTAGAAATGGAGATCAATTCTAATAGATGTCCAGGCCTTGCTACATATTTCTACCTACTCGAACAAGGACAAGATCCCTCAACCATAATATTGGCCGGAGACTCCGCTGGTGGAGGAATGGTCGTAAGCATGTTAGTCACACTACGTGATCAGGGTGTTCCTCTTCCCGCTGGAGCTATCTTGATAAGTCCCTGGGTAGATCTCACACACTCTTTCCCTAGTTTGGGCGGCGACGGGAAGCTGGATTACATCCCTGCGCATGGATTTGTTCACAAGCCCAGCGAGAGCTGGCCTCCGCCGAATGCTGATGACAGGCTCGCGTTCGAGCAGCGTCTCAATGCCTCGCAGCCAACTGAAAAACTAACGCCGACATCGACCAATGAAGGAGAGACGGCACAGAAAGCAGAGAAGGGTGCTGAAAAGGAAGCCGAAGCAGAGCGCGTTCGAGGCTTTTCGATACGATCTTCAGCGGATGGGCCCGGTACCAACACGTTGCTTAGAACGACAAGTGCAAACCCAGACACTTTTGTGTCTGAAAATGGCAAGTACAGTATAGGGCCAAAGTCGACACTTTCTTTGCAGTTGGAAGACTCACGCATCGAGATCAAGGATCAGATCCAGTTGTACGCTGCAAACCATCTTCTGACTCATCCACTGGTGTCTCCAGCTCTTCAGCCGACGCTTGGAGGCCTACCACCTCTTCTAATTCAAGTGGGCGGCGGGGAACTGTTACGCGACGAGCAGATATACCTTGCACACAAGGCGGCCCAGCCTCTTGTCTATCTACCACCTCCGTCAAACCATCTCACCGCACAGCAAATAGAAGCAGAAGCCTCCAAATACCGGCCAACAAATGTACAACTCCAAGTATGGGACGATCTATGCCACGTTGCGCCCACACTCAGTTTCACACGACCGGCAAAGCACATGTATCGAAGTATCGCGCAGTTCGGGGCTTGGGCACTCGCCCGGTCACAAAAGACAACTATTGATATCCTAGATGACGATGACATTTCTATTCTCAGCACTGAATCTGACTCTTCAGCCCAACCTGGTAGCAATCCCTCCTCAGATGACATCAAGCTGACGATGCCTCAAAGTGCGCAGCATGTTGGATTCGAAAGCATAGATACTAAGGAGCCCAAAGGCACCAAGGTTGGCAAGGCAGGCGACCCTCTTCCTGCATTTGAACATCATATGATTCGGCAACGCATCGATCGCCATGGACGTATTTATGCAATGGAGCCGTACAAGCAAATAGAGGCTCTTAATATGGCGAGGGAGGATATCGGCGTACCAAAGCCAGGGCCTGTGAACAAATGGATGAAGGCCCAAAGCGAATGGAACGGGAAATTTGCCAAGGATAAACTGAAGGTCCAAAAGAAGAGAATAAAGGATATGGAAAAAGGCTATGAAGGATTCGAGGGCGAGTCACCGCCTCCAACCGCTCTGGCTGGGCGCATACTGAAAGGGATGAAGGCCGAGAAGAAGTCAAAGAGGAGCTGGGGAATGTCGCTCTGGAGTTTGTGGGGATCAAAGCACGATTCGATGACGGTTAGTTAACCCCATCAAGCCTGGCATCGACCAATGTTCATAGCTGACCCTGGGCAGATCGAACGAGAAGAAAAGACGGATCGTTTCCCAGACCAAGGACCGCACATTGCCACGAATGATCCGGACGGAACTATTACCGAGACTTCCACAGACGGCGTCAGCGATTCGAAACCCCTGAAGCACCCAGGCAAACCCCATCGCAAGAGCTTCACTCGAAACCGGTCATCACGCCTTGGGCCCAATGCCGCGGATACAACGTCGTCGCGCTCGCGATCCGGCTCTCGGTCCCGCTACAGCAATGTCGCGGACACTGGCCAGGTCGGCATGTCAACCAACGATCTGATACGTTTGAACAGTCTCGCGCCTCCTATTCCTGGCTTTGCAGAAGCAACAAGAATTGCGCCCGAGCGCAAGACTTCCGGTATGAACACTGACAACCAACCAGATGATAGCACAGAAGTCGTAACAAACGGCGTCAGCACTCCAGATATCGTGATTGATGATATTACACGCCCGCACTCTCCTATCACTCTAATTCCCGTGACGGATACATTTTCTACTAGGCCGACAAGGGGCGGCGTGGCATATCCGTTCAGACTGAAGGTCGAGGGCGATGATAGAGATGTCAATGCTAGTACACTTACATTGCAAAGTGTCAATGTTACGACGCCTAGGGTGGAGGATTTTGAAGGTCCCGGAACGCCGGTCAAGAACCGGCTTAGTGGAGTGGAAGATGAACTCTCGAAGGATGATGATACGAGTGCTGCGACGATGCTCAATGGTGTCGGAATAGAGGTCGCGCAGAGGAATGAGCGGCCCGGTGTTGATAGATTCTTCACTGCTGGTGCTGGCGATATGTTGATGGCAAAGTCTGGAGACGCAAAGGCTATAGTGACCGATACAAAACCTGACATGGCAGAGCGACCAGGTGTGGAGCGATTCGAGACTGCAATGGAGAGCTTGACTACACTCTCCAACGATACTACAAAGTAAATCTTGAGGCGGGCCTGAGACATAAACTGTCCTCTGATTCGCCTATTTCTTTTTCTACTAGCTTCTTTTTAGTAATACATCCACGCTTACCTTAATACCGCTTGCCGCTCGTTTGTCTCCACAAATTAGCTTCCCGCTTTGCATTTCTTTGATGTGGACACCTTTCTCTTGTGGATGATCAGACTGGGAGCAGGACTGCTCAAGTCAACTTTTTAGATATCGCGTGTGTTAGGATATATACCATACAATTCGCACCATTTACCATCTGCAGTACAAACATCAGCAGGACCGGTAGCTCAGTGGTAGAGCGGCAGATTGCAGATCTGAAGGTGGCTGGTTCGATTCCGGCTCGGTCCTCTCTTTTTTGCTTTGATAGGCAATTGCTGCTCTCACACAATTTTTTTTTTTCTCTCTCTAGCTTTTGATAGATAGATATAGATACACAATAAATAAATATTTTGTATGCAAGAGAAGAGAGTGGTTTTTGCGTATGTGATTCAGCATTTCTGCCTCTTAGATTCTCTCATACATTCAATGACTTGCTGGCCTTCTTGACTGCCATACATGCCATGACACTCAATCTCAACTTTATTCAGGACTGACAGCGCACAGTCCACGTCCAACAGCAAGTTCTTCTCTGTTGCTTGAGCATGTCCATTTCCGGTTTTCCGCCGCCCGCACCTCAAGAAACTTGGGCCTGATTCCGCTGCGCCCAAAGCTCAAGCTCTCACACTTCAACATCCCACCTCGACATCACCCCTCAGTTGGACACGATGAACACAATCGCCCCCGCCCCCAAAATACGCAAGCTTCCGCCAGGCAAACGTGTCGTAGGAGTACTTATCGGCCTCCTCGGCGGCGCCGCTTTGAACGCTTCTCTCGGGTACTCTACCTTTACATTCTATGCTCGCAAGACCACGTTCGTACCCTACGACACCACCTCACCCGACCTTCAGACACCGCTTTTCAAAAAACATAACCCGCACGGCAATCCGCCAGGCTGTATCGACCATGCGGTGCGCACGGTGCCATTGAGCAAGCTCAAGACGATTGACCAAGCGGAACTCACGAGAGACTTTTGTCGCGGCGTGTGGGGTGGCATTGGGTATGCGTATCAGAGGAGATTCTTGGAGAAGAAATACAAGGCGCTGCCCGGAAGGGAGGATCATCTTTGGAGTAGGGAAGAGTTAGGGAATGCCGAGTATGAGAAGGGAACCAAGATCACGGATCATTTTGAGGTTGTGGAGAAGACGCCTGAGAAGGTGAGTGTCGGCATATCTCCAATTGGGGAGTTTAGATTGAAACAGCATTTGTGAAATGCCAGGTAGTCGATCGAAAGCTGACCTGGAACATTTAGATCGTTGTGCGATGCGGCGATTCTCCCCTCGAAGCCGGACCTCGACCCAGCGACGGCTTGTTCTCGATGGAAGTCACCAAGGACGAGCAGGCGCAGACCGCTACGTTCCATCTCAAGAGTGTGTTTGTGAACACCACGCCTGAGGGAAAAGATAACCAGCCGCTGCCGTGGCATTTCCAGTTCCTACATCGGCTGTACACAAAGTTGTGGATGGAGACAGCAGTCAGGAAGTTGGTCAAGTAAGACTTGGGGCCTCGAATGAAAGGACACGGAATGATGTTAGATATGAGGGTGATACCACGGAATTGAGAAGATACAAGATGATCCAATGAAGGAAAATATTACCCTAATAATTAGCTTGCGACATTTACAAGTTGTACAAGGATATATATACCCCTCGCGTCAAGGAAGAATTCGTACAACCTCTCGACCATCATACGATCACGAAAAGACGCAACTTCGGGCACGAATGAAGCTTTTGCATCCCGAGTCCGATCGATTTTATTAGCAAATCACGGACAATGGAAGAGGGCCTTGCACAGCCCGAACGCTACGTACGCACTCAAATACATCATCGACATCGGCTCTGATAACAAATGCTACTAGTCCAATCCGGATGAAACCACCGTCCAGATTTCATGAACCACTCGGAAGATCTGCTTGGCACAAACACGTGATGACTAACCGTCCAAACCATCCAGGTCTTATTGACGCGTCATTCAGAAACGGAAGCCGTCTCTACTGCATGTCAGCCACTGTGGAGCATGTTGCGCGATGAGTGTCGCATGTACGAAGAACTTAAATGGGAGATTGGCAGAGGCAGTCTAGGTGGTTGCTGTTTCTGCCTGAGAATCAGTCTTTCCACATTTCTGACTGTGTCCACTCGCGCCTGAAATATTTACTCGTTCTTACTGCTCGCTATTTCCGTTGTCAATTAGTTCTATCCACTTCTTATGATATAGGCCTTGAAGGTCCATCCTTACCCCAGTTGTTATGCCAACCTTCCACTGCTGTTAAAACACACCCACGATCACTCGAGCGCTGAGCGCTCACACCACACACATCATGTCCGCAAACTACACCCAAGATAAAGCTGCAGCAGGACCGGAACTTCCCTACCGGGTTCCTGCGGCTCGTCCATCGCGGCTAAACCCCAAGTCTTGGACATGGAAGACATGGACTGGGATCGCCGTGGCACTCATCCTGATTATCGTGGCAGCAGCGGTAGGAGGAGTTCTAGGAGCGAGAGCAAATGCGTACCCAGACTACTCGAAACTGAATTATAGTCTGCAAGACACATGTGCGTACACCGTCGTTGATAAGGAATTGTAGAAGCTAATATTGCGTCAATCAGATTCTGGAGATAACTTCTTCTCCCAATTCAACTACTTCACGGGTTATGATCCGACACATGGCTTCGTCCACTATGTCGACTCTCCCACGGCTGTATCCGAGAATCTGACTCTCATGTCAAACACCACGACCTCGTCAGCCACATCTCTCTCGACCTCTGGTACAGCAATCCTGCGTGTCGACACGGCAGATCAAAACGCCACCACGGGCCGTCGCTCAGTTCGTATCACGTCGAAGAAAGCCTACAACACCGGCCTCTTCATCTTCGACATCGTGCACTCCCCCTATGGTTGTGCTACATGGCCTTCAGTGTGGATGACAGATGTCAGCAACTGGCCACTGAATGGCGAGATCGACGTGGTGGAGGCGGTGAACATGGGGAACATGGGGAACCAGGTGACGCTCCATACGACCAAGGGGTGTGAGATTGGGAAGAACAGGAAGAGGAAGCAGACGGGTACGGCATTGAATTACAATTGCTACAACGGGACCGATTCGAATGCCGGCTGTGGTGTTTCCGGTCCCACCAATACCTTCGGCGCTGCGTACAATGCCCTCGGCGGCGGTGTATACGCCCTCGAGCTCCGCTCTGCTGGCATACGCGTCTGGTCCTTCCCCCGCTCCAACATCCCTTCGGACATCACATCAAAGTCTCCCGACCCGAGCACGTGGGGTACCGCACTAGCCGATTTCCCGAACCTGGAGTGCGACATCAGCAGCCATTTCAAGAATCAGACGATTGTTGTCGATATCGATCTCTGTGGAGACTGGGCTGGGCAGCCTAGTGTGTTCAATGCTGATGCGCAATGCACGGGCACGTGCAGCGATTGGGTCGCGGACAAGGCTAGTAGCTTTGATCAGGCGTATTGGGAGTTTGGCGGCTTCTGGACGTATACTGCGACTGCGGCTTAAGGTGCGAAGGATGGATGGATGGAGTGGATACGTGGTTGGTCTAGAGGGAGAAAAAGGGGGGGGGGCGGGTACTGCTTTTAACGAATTGGGGACTGGAATAAGGCTTTTTTCGCTATTGTATATGATATCAAGTATGGAGTTCGGATGGGGTGTATGTACACTGTTGGGTCAAGTTACGCCCCGGTGGCATTGCCTTGCACTATATATAATAAAGATTGTTTATCATACTGCCGTTTAGTCCGAGAGGATCGACAATGAAAATGCAATGGGTAGCCGGTTCCCCCTCCCCCAAGCAGATTCTTTGCGTCGTATCTTCATCAATATCCGTGTTGTTATGTTCGAATTCGGTAATACGAAAAAGTAGGTAATTATGCTGGAGTCCATACTGCAAGTGTCTAACTTCTAAACAGCATCAGCCCCTCTTCGGCCGCATCTCCGTCTTCACCCTCGCTCATGACCTCATCCACATCCTCACCCAAGCCCATCCTTGCTCCAAACAAACTGCCGAACAACTCGTCCCTCTGCCTGTCACCCCAATCGCCCCTCTCTTCGGGCGCCATGAAATTCTGCAGTTTCTCATGCACTGTGTATCTCAATTTCCTGCCCTTGCTAGCCTTCGTATCGACCACCTTTCTCGTCTTCGCTTCACGGGCAACCTGCCACGGCTGTTGCACCACGAACTCGCTTGTCCCACTCGTGTTTAGATCCGCAGAACGCTGCTCGAGAAGCTCTTTGAGAAGGAGGCCGTAGAGATCGGCATCGTCGTATATGTCTTTCGACGATGTATTGGCGGCGGATTGAAGTGGAGCACAGGACCGCGGGACCTGGGTCCGCGCGACGAGGCGTGGCATATCTTGCAGTTGGCTTGTCAGCACATCGGTAAGTGTCTGTCCCACACTAGTGTTGAGCCGGCTTTTGCTGGCCTTGACCGTGGCGCCGCGCGTCTTGACGGACCATTTCTCCAGGATTGCTTTTCGGTGGGATAGCGCAGCGGGTTCGGTAGCTTGCATGGAAGACCAGATCTCGGATGAAGAGGTGGCACGTGTGAATTCTGTGCGCTTGCGCTTGTCACCTGCGCGGGCCGAGTCGAGTGTTGAGCGGAGGTTGGTGAGGTTATTGAGGAGGGTCAGGGCAGCTGTCTCGGCGGCTTCTATGGAGACTTCAGGTGCGGCCTTTCCACTCTCAGAGTCTGCTGCCATGGAGTTTGTCGAAATGAGGGCCTTCTGTAGGCGAATGCGCGTGTTGAGCAGGGTATCGAAGATTTTGCGCTGTGATTTTATTGCTTGGCCCTTGGTGACGTCTGCGACTGCGGCTTGGGAGATTTGCGCTGTGATGCCTTGCTCCTTGAACATATCACGGATTTTGGATTGGTCGTCCTCGTCGTCTGAGTTGTCGTCCATGTTTTGCTTCTTCATCATCTTGCGCAGCTTGGAGGTGTCGTCTTCGTCTTCGTCTCCGTCCTCATCGTCGGACGTGTCGCTCGTGTCCTGGTCTTTCTCGTCTGCATCCTCATCATCGACGTCTTCGTCATTCTCGTCCTGGTCCTCGGAATCAAAGCCCTCCATCTGCTCGTCTCCATTCTCATTCTCACCGTCGATCTCATCCTCTTCACTTTCCTCTCCCTTTGAAATGCCTTTTCTGTACTCGTCCAAATCGCTTACACTTTCTTCACTATCCCCGGCATCATCAAAGCCCCGCGCAAATGGATCGTCGCTATCCTCGTCCTCGGCCGCAT